GAAGCCACTTGTCAGGAAATCTCAAACAGTCTTCTTCTGGTGAAGTCTTGAAAAGCATGACTGATAGCTGTGACCACTCAGACCGGTCCAGACATCTGTCAGAGAGTGTGACGGTGTGATGTGAGCTGAAGAGGTTTTATTGTCCTGCACTGTTCTGCTCTGACTTACAGCAGCAACCTTGTGAAACCGACCCTGCTGTTCTAATCCTGTTCAGAGGCTGCTCTAAGCCTATTAGAGATGGACAAGGTAATGATGTTATAGTTGGCTCAGTAATGGCAGCGCTCGAGCATCAGGTGTCCACCCAAAGAAAACAACTACCCATCTGCCCTTTATAAAGCTGATAACAGTCTTTGACACAACACACTACAGCAGTGATGCAGCACACAAGAGACAGCTGAGGATGTGCGTTTGTGATTTATTTGTGGACTGAGGTATTATCAGCGGAGGCCAGATATCGACAAAAATAGGTTTTCTCCTCACGCACTTACACAAGAGTACACACACAGAGGAAATACCGCAACACTTTTTAACAATTGGTGACAGCCTGAGTACATAACACAAACCTCATTGGATCTAATCTTTGGACAATCACAAGACCAAAGGAGGGAAATTGTTTCTATTCCTACAGCAGTATCTTGTTGTTTTTATTGTTAAATTAATTTATTGTAAATATTTTCTTTTCCTACATTTCCCCAAAACGTTATAACTATTCATTTTTCTCTACATTTATTTAATGTATATAACCAGAGCACAGTCTTTACGTTCCAATGCAATACAAAGCAATGCTTCTAATGTATATGACAACATACTGTATGTATGTGCGTTCACATGCATGGAGTCACAAACATATACTAAAGTCAGTAAGGAAAGATCAATTGGGTTGTCTAAAAAAACCGAATGAGAGCGTCACAGTTGTCATTATAGAGCATTATCCAACAATCAATTTGTAACATAGACACAATGATGATTGGACAGATTTGATGATTTAGATATGATGATATGAAGAATTTGTGAATGCGAGGAACTTGTGGGACAGTAGAGGAGATTGAGAAGGACCAGAAACAGCAAAAAACAGCAGTATAAAAGCAAAATGTGACAAAAAAAGAGGCTGAAAAGTAGAAGGTAGTGGTGGTCGGATTGTTGTAATTTGTAAATTATGTGAAACAATCAAAGAGTTAAACAGGAAATGAACAGAGCTAATACAATGAACTCAGCAGCCTTGTGAGATAAAGAAAAGACAAGAGGGAGAAGATATCAGTATGTCTGTGAGCTTGCATGAACACAGCACATGCAGGCGACTTCCTTCATTGATTTTATTTCGTTTTTCACAGAGACAAATGAAGCACAATTGCCATCATGTCATCATCATAAGGTCTCCATGGCAACCTCTGCCCAAATAGTGCAGAAGACTCCAACATAAATAAATACCATGCCATTTAGGCAGTTGTGGTGTTATTTGTAGAAGGAGAAAGGAATTTCACTTCTGTCAACAGTTTTATGAGGGACTTTTTTTATTAGTAACTGCAGTATTATTCACATTAAAGTGTTTACAGTGAGGGCTGGTATTATCTAAACTAACAAGGACACTGTTTCTGGAAAGACACTCCACTGGTTTAATTTTACATATAAAGGTCAGTTTACATATCATGAGGAGTTCAACTCAGCCTGTGGAAAACACATGCACACTAACGAAAAGCCTTTGTTGCACACCGGGTGCGTGAAGTTTGAATGACGATTGGTTGGTTATTGGCTATTGGTTGTATTAAGGGAAATGTAGGATTTAGTGTTTTTGGCGTTTGACCCATACTTGACACTAAAAAGTCAGCGCATCTAGTTTAGCTCACTCTGTTTTTAATCGGTCTCTTGTGCATCCAACAACTTTCTGGGAGTGTAGCACTAAATCAGCAAAGCCATGTACAAATGAGGTTCAATCCAAGCCACAGTAAGTCAAGGAGAAGCATTCGTGCCTCACTCTCAGTTCAAAACATTGATTACCATTGTCTGTCTACCCTAAATACAGCAACAGTGTAAAAGCAAAAAGGATGAGATACTACAACTACACCACCTCTTCTGCTGACACCTGAGGGCTCTTTGGTGGTGCTCTATGAGGAAAGCAGGTGTTAAAAGTCATGGTTGAAGGGGTCTGATAGCTCAATTTTTGGAGTAGCAGCAGTATTAATGTATCTTGAGTGGCCATGCCTTTGTGTTTGTGTCTGTGTCTGTACTCGGTATTTGTATCATTTAGTTTCAGCATAAGAATGTTTTATTTTCTGAAATATTGCTTTGAAAATTTGAAACAGTCAAACTTCCAAAGAGTCAGACATTGTAAAACTTAGAGAGAAAAATAGTGTTCAGGAAGCGAATGCAAGTTCACTGTAATAATAGGATGGACAAAGTGTGCTGTTCTGCACTTCAGCAGGAGAAGGGAAGAGAAAGCCGGTGGAGCTCAGTGGCTACAACAGTGCACTGACAGCGCCAGGGCTTCGACTCCCACTGTGGCCATCCAAGCTGAACATTTAGGAAGCGTTGCTGCTGGGAGTCACTTTAGATAAAAGCATCCACCAAAGAGCGTAATGTCCAAACCCCTTCAAGATTAGTGAGATAGATCTCAGCGTGTCTCCTGGTTGTTTGAGACATCAGATGGACAAAGCAAGACACACCCGCTGACGTAAGCCTCTGGACTGTAAAATGCCTCCGTGTAAACAGGAAATGGAGATTTTTGACAGATACACACAGTGAGAGACACACATGGCTCTTGTCATTTGAGAATAAAACATTGCCACAGGCTGTGACCTGTGTTTCTCAGTTTTGGAATAAATATATTTAAATAGTATCTATATATATATCTCTAATATTAAATCACATGTGCTCTCAAATCCCTTGTTTACATGAGTCTTTCTTCCTGAAAAATCCTCACAGTTCTTTGTGTGCACTGAGGGAAGTTCACACTTGTATGTACGTCAAGCAGTGTTTCCTCACGAGGTCTCCCTCCCGAACTGCCCAATCAACTCTTGACCCTACTTCCTGGTCTAAAATTAACCACACCCACAACCGTGACCACCACCACCCAAAGTCTGTCGCCAGGAAACTGCTATCATCATCCATCATTTTATTTTGATGTTATTTACTTTCAGCTCGTGGACGCACACACAAATCATACCTGGTAGTTTCCAGAGCAACATTTCACCTTAAAATACCAGATTTTTTTAGAGCGTCCACAATAACAAAATGCCACAGGAGTTTGACACCTAAGACTTTATTTGTAGCATCAGATTCAGACCTGTGATCCCTGTCACAGTCTGTGCCGACAGAATTAGTGAAGAGTTCAGTCAAGTCCAGCTGGAGTAAACAGTGGATTGGCAGCTACCATTACTATTATGCAGAGACATCAACAACTTTAACTACCATATGGACAAACATTTAAACCATGCTCTAATATGCTGAAAACATACAAAGATAGAAAAGTTTCCAAAAACTTCACAAAAGAAAATGCACAAATCAGCAGCCAATTTTCTGTACAGACAGTTAACTTGCATCCAAGTTTTTTTTTTTCAGGGAACACAATATTAAAGTTGCTAAGTAAATAACTATAATACAATATTTATATAATAAAAGATCTTAAGGCAGAGTAACAGTGCGACAGACAGAGAAGCTATTTCGTTTTACAATTCATTACAAGACATGATCAGTGCATCACACTATTTATCCCATTTTGTTGCCATCTGAATTGTTCATGGACCACTCAGTTCACTGATGCCTGTTAATGATCTGTGCTAATGCTGTCATGTTCAATGGAATTTCTGTATTTCAGAAGCCTGTCCATGTGTTCTTTTTGATACAGTTGGACAATAAATCATCAGTTGAAAGCAATAAATCATTAGCAGCAGAAAACAGTAAATCATCCTAAACCAGAATGGGAATATATTTTGATAACAAAGGCAAGAAAAACATCTAACTAGCAACGCCCTCGTGCAAAGGAAAGTAGAATCTGCCTTTTAGATTAGTTTGGTGTTGTCAAACCAGAAAGTTTGATATTATTTAAAAAACGATATCTGTTGCTCAAAAACTGCATGCATTATGTAACCCGGTGTGTTTTGCCTACAGCTGCCTGTGAACCCACTTTGAGCCAACATACATACCAGGCTGGTGGGCGAACTTTGCGATGGAGCTGGAACTGGGGGCAATCAGATCCAATGACCATCACACTGCAGCTGTCGCTGGTGTGTAACATTAAGACAGGGGCTATTTGAAAAGACCGCGTACTGCCACCAGCAGCTCTGTCAGCTCTGCTCTGCTCTCATTAAGTTATTTAAACTTATTTCTGACTGGGACACTATTATTACAACAAAAAATAATAGGTGTTATGTTACGGTACTCGTGGTAGGCCGCACCCATCCAGCACTCCTAAAGGTTTAAATAAATGTTACGAATATTTTTTTCAAGTGTTATTTGACCCAGGTCTCATTACAAAACACTCTTATAACTTGGAGTCATAGTGACATGCCACACTGCAAATAGTTACCATAAACCTCAGTGAATACTTGAGTGTTTGTAACCAGCAACTGGCATGCTGGAGTAAACACAAGTGGCAGCTGTCTTACTAAAACTGTCTTTGCATTTAAACAGTGCGCTATTGTTATGCTCTCCAAAGTCAGCTATGTGGTTTCTGCAGGCTGCTACATAAACTATTTTGCTCTCAGCAGCTCCTGAGCTACCAAATGTTTAAAGCAATATTTCAGAAAATAAAACGATCTCAGGCTGATTTAAAACAAAATTATGCAAACACAGAGTACAGACACAGAGCAACAAAGGCATGGCCGCTGAGGATGGATTAACACTGCTATTACTCCATAAAGTGAGCTATCAGGCCCCTTCAACCATGACTTCTAACACCTGCTTTCCTCTCAGCACAGAGTACCATCAGGGAACCCTCGGGTATCAGCAGACTGCACTGTGTCTTCAGCACAGAGACTTTATTAAACCACATCCATCCAGCCTACCTTAATTCTCAGCCTCAGCGTGTCTCTTCCAGTGGTTCAAAGGTGACAGACCTCCACTTGCAGCAGCACAGCTTAAATCTCAGCCTCTCTTTCTTTCTTATCTTCCTTTGACCACCTCGATCATTCACTTCCTGTCTGTCCTCAGCTGCTCTCCTTCACTTGTTCTTGTTGTTGTTGTTGGTATTTTTAGTCTTTACCCCCTCTCTTTTTCTAGGCCTTTGCCCCTTGTCACCAGCCAACCTGTTGCTCCCCTCACTGAAACCTCAGGCCTGGACCGGACCCATGGCATCTCTAGGAGGGACGCATCCAGCCATGTGATTGGCTGGAAGGGCAGAGAGATGCCCCCATATTAGGGCAGAAACAGGCGGGGCTGCAATAAAGGAGGGAGGAGAAAAACATAACAAAGTTTGTGACATATTAGAGTGTCTGTCTGAGTAGTGACTGCTGACTGTTTCTCTCTCTGTCTCTCTGCAGCATGTCTCCACACAAAAACTATGCTAACTTGTCATGGTTTTTTGAAATCAATCATTATCTGTGAGTTTGACAATTCAGACACAAAAACAGAGCTGTACTAGTAGGTCACTTGTGTGGTGGCCGACAAGGGCAAACTTTTCCATTCGGAGTAACATGCTGCAGCTTCAACAACAATGGAAATGTGCTGCAGAAAGGCAAAAATTTAATAAAATTAACAATAAACATGCTGCAAAAAGATACATATTCTCTTTATTCTCTACATTCGGCACTTTTACAATAGTATAGTGCTTAGTGCTCCTGGAGATCTTTCATTCTGTTGACATGAAGCGTTTTTCTGATGCATCTGTTTTCGGGGTTTGTGTATTTTGGATTTTGCATGATTTTTGTATTTGCAACATGTTTCCATGCTAAAATAAATTAAAAAACAAAATTCTAGCCAAAATAAACTAGAAAACAGGCTGTAACAAAATCCCAATGGTCTTTAAATGCCTGGATGAACTTTCCAACAAGTGATTATTGTTGAGAAGTTATTTTTATCCCAAATGTCTGAAAATAGGAACGGCGGGCCTTGGATCTTGTTTTAGAGAAAGTGTGATGCTTCCTTTCAGGTACAGATACACACTGACGTGCTGAAATGCAGACAGAATACAGAAGACACACACATGTTGTTAGCGGAACAATATGTGTGTGTCTTCTGTATTCTGTCTGCATTTCAGCACGTCAGTGTGTATCTGTCAGTACATTTCTACATTTCTTGTAGATTTTTCCCCCCCTGTTTTTACAGATGATTTTTAGTAAACCAGCTGGCTGCAAAGCTGAGGTAAGTATGAAAAGATTTAGATATGATCATGAGACAACAGACCCCTGGCCAGAGACATGCAGGAGGCCCCACCCTGTCCCACTTAGGACAAGAGAGGACAAGAGAAGTTACTACAAATTATGTTTTTGCATGTTGTGGTAGTTTTGCCTCTTTGTAGTTGTCTGTGAAGATTCTCAGTCATCCAGGTCATTGTTGCCCAAAGAAGGTTGAGGTCAAGGGCAACTGGACTTGGTTGAAGATACTGGAAGACGTTTCGTCCCTCATCCAAAGGACTTCTTCAGTTCTGACTGACTGGCAGGGAAACTCAGCTATTTAACCTCAGTGTGGTCGTTTGCCAGGATCGTCGGTACCGCTGGTTCGTTAGTGTTCCTGGTTGCTGTGACGACAGTCATTACAGTCGTTAGGACTACTGGAGGCCAAGACTGAACGACCATCGTTGGTATCTTCACCTGAGGCCAATAGGTTACGTTTGTTGAGTTTCCTGGGAAGTGATGAAAGGACAGCATTGTAAGTGGGGGATAAGTGGTGGCGTAGACCCCCTCCCCTGTTCAATGACGGCTTCTCAACCCTGGTGTAGATGCTTCCTTGACACCTCTTTCAAACCATCCATCTTCTCTGTCTAAAATGTGCACCTGGTGGTCCTCAAACGAGTGTCCTCTGTCCTTCAGATGTAAGTAGACTGCAGAGTCTTGACCTGAGGAGTTGGCCCTTCTGTGTTGAGCCATGCGTTTGTGTAGTGGTTGTTTAGTCTCCCCAATATACAGGTCTGTGCATTCCTCACTGCATTGGACCGCATACACTAGACTGCTTTTCTTGTGTTTGGGTGTGCGGTCTTTGGGGTGGACCAGCATCTGTCTTAGTGTGTTCTTGGGTTTAAAAAACACAGGGATGTTATGTTTGTTGAAAATCCTCCTGAGTTTCTCTGATACTCCATACATGTAAGGAATCACAATGTTGTTGCGTTTGACCTTCTTTTCCTCCTCCCCTGTAGTTTTGGTCTTCTTGGATCTTGTGGCTGTTTTCACAAAGGTCCATTTAGGGTATCCACAGGCTGTAAGTGCCCCCTTCAGGTGTTTCTGTTCCTTCTCTCTGGCTTGGGCGCTTGTTGGTATGTTTTCCGTTCTGTGGTGCAGTGTTCTCATGACCCCTAGCTTGTGCTCCAGTGGGTGGTGTGAATCGAAGAGTAGGTATTGGTCTGTGTGTGTGGGTTTTCTGTAAACACCAATCTGCAGGCTCCTGTCCTCTTCAATGTGTACAGCGCTGTCCAAGAAGGCCAAACTGTTGTTGTGAACATCTTCTCGCGTGAACTTGATGTTACTGTCCACAGAGTTGATGTGTTCTGTGAAGGCTTGCGCTTCCTGGCTTTTAATTTTGACCCAGGTATCGTCCACATATCTGTACCAGTGGCTCGGTGCTGTTCCTCTGAGGGAGTTGAGGGCTTTGCTCTCCACTTCTTCCATGTAGATGTTTGCCACAATTGGGGATACCGGTGGTAATTTGCAGATCTGGTCAGGGCTGATGCTAGTTCTGTTGTCTTGTGTTAGCCGTTTCCTTACGGTTTCTACTGCTTCTATGGTGAGGATGCAGGTGAACAAAGAGGTCACGTCATAGGATACCATGGTTTCATCTGGGTCCAGTTTCAGTCCTTGAACTTTGTTTACAACTCTTTATAGTTGATTTGCATCTCTTTGTTTTCATTTTGCATCTTTTTGTAGTTGTTTTTTTGCCTCTTTGTTGTCATTTTGCACGTGTTCATAGTTGTTTGCATAATTTAGTGGCTATATTCTCTTCCTCTACTATAAGGTCAGAGTTCACCTAATGGTGTTCAATGTCTTGCACATGGACAGTTCAGCATGGTGGATGCTGGACAACACGAGGGCTTGATATTCAGGTATTAAACCCATATATATCCAGGCTCATATTCAGCACCCAGAGAAAATATTCAAGGTGGCACTAATGCAAACAAAGCAAGACTGACACAACTTCATGCTCACTGAGGTGAAATGAAGTGTAGAGGCGCTCACTCTAGTGGAAGTAATTCAGCTGGATAAAAGTGGCACTGTAAATTAAATCCCAAACACAACTGTATCAAGCATAGTTTCCTGCAGAGTCGACCCCTAAATGACTTTTAAGTGGGAAAAGTGTCTACATTTATCTGACGCTATTATCCAAGGCGGCTTACATATGCTATTTATATCAGGGGTCACATGCCTCTGGAGCAGGTAGGGGTTAAGTGTCTTGCTCAGGGACATGTTGGAGTTGAACCTGAGTCTCCCACACCAAAGGAATGCATCTTATCCACTGCATTATCACCACCCCTTCTATTGCGTATTTATGAAGGCTATTGCTAACTAAAGTTTACTCTTCAAAGAAGCTGTAAGAGATGCTGGAAGTCACAACAAAATACTTTAATATTCAGCATGACACAATAAAAATAATTCTGATGAGGTGATGAAATGACCACAGATCTACTGATTTAGTCAGTAGAAATTAAAATAATTCTCTTCTCATCTCTGCATCTCTGCTTCTGTGTGCAATGGTGCAATCACAGTTTGAAAGACTGGCAGGGATTGACCTCTCATTCAGGAAATACTGGTTGCTTATATTCTTGTTTATGTAACCACATGGATAAATAACACAAGCAGCAGAGAAGGAGGGATACTGCTTGGCTGCAGTGATTTCAAGTACATTAGTAGAGTTGTTTGAAGAGTTTGATGAAAGCTTTATAATTTACTACTTGTGGACTGCCCACAGTTTGGGCTAACAATCTTCACTATTTCCTGTTCTAGGTTCTGTCCTTGCTGCAGAAAAGGACAAATTAATTGAAATCATTGATCGATGATGAATTACAGGTCTCAGTGAAAATGGTTGTGACTATATGAATTAATACAATTACTCATAATTGTTTTGACTTAGCTTTTTAAGTCAACTAATCAAGTTCATGAATGTTCAAATACTGCAGTTCCTGCACACCCATGGTACATCTGCACAGGTGTTTTTACTTACTTGTCCTCTTCTCTAGACCGTGGTTGTTGACAAACTGCACATGATTGACATCTCCCTCCTTTACTTTACTTTACTTTACTTTAGTTTTACCTTCAGTTAGAACTGGACGACTGACAACATTCTTATTAGTAAATGAAGTTTGGTGACCAAATTACAAACTGAAAAGTCTGATTAGCCAAAATATGTAAAAACACCTGCTTAGGTGTGCAGGTCCTTTAAGCCTCTATCTAGGCCTCAGGCAATTATAAACCACATTCAGCTGTGGACTACTGCCCCTGCCACCCAACCCATAACCCACCCATGGATCCAGTAAAGCAAGGTCTGTACACGGCCCACAGCCCTACAGATGACTGATGGATTTGTCTATTGCCAGCAAGCCGTGTAGAGGTGGGGTGGTAAGGGGGGATGCTGTCAGCACAGATCAGGCAGCCAGCGCTATGTCAGCTAACATGGTCATTGTTGCAGTCCAGCTCGCACACAAAGACAGGATTTAGATGTAAGAGAGGCCAGGGACCCTGAAACAAGGGCTGGGCTGGGCAGGGGCATGATGGAGGGTGAGAGAAATGCATATCACTTTTGTGGCAACTCATTTATTTTGGTGATTGTCATATTTTCACATTTTTCAGAGAAACATTTTGGAAGTACAAGGTTCGACAGCTAGTGACATGCTTACAGTACATAATATTATACAGTAGCTAGGCCGGTATCTGTAAATTATGTGTTATTTGTGACGGATGAGAGTGAGGATGGTTAGGATATACGGACAGGGGTGAGCTAAAGCAGGAGTCAGGAGGACTGAGGAGGTGATGGAGGGAGGGGTGAGGTGTGTTGAAAGGTGAGGAGGAGGAGTGAGGGAGGATGGGCAGCTAAGTTGGCATGGGGCACGAGGCCCCACAGACCATAGCTATACCCCCGTCAGCGCTTAAAAGGGCCGGGAAACTGGAGCAGGCTGTGAGTGTGGGCGAGTATTACTAAT